ACTAATTAGTGTTATTATTAAGGTCACTACTAATTTGTTTCATTGTTATATCGATTATGTTTATTTTTACCTTTGTATGGTTATAAAACAAATTGATAGTGACATTGGTAATAACACTAATCCGTGGCGGAGCCGAGCTCTAATTTGAGTCCGGACCAAAAAATTATATGTGTATTTATTTTTCTTAATTTTAGTTAGTTCATATTATAATATATTTAAATTATATTAAATATAGAGCACATGAACTGGCAGCACTAAGAAAAGTTATAATTGTATTAAATATTTTTTAATTTTACTAAAAAAAAATTTATATATAAGTGGAAATTGAACACATAACCTAATACAACTTATCCAAATCTTTCACCAAAAATATTTTAATTTTTAGATAGGGCCAAGTTACAAATTATAGCCCGGGCCAAATTACAATTTTAATCCGTACTAAATTATAATAAATTATATAATTATATATAGTAAGTATAATTTATTAAAATTTAGTCCGGGCCGAGGCCACACCTAAACTACACGTCGCTCTGCCACTGACACTAATTGATAATAACAATATCCTATCTCATGTATTAATACATTAATTTTACCGTGTCTTGTTGATATTTTAATATATTTATCTACATTTTTAACTTGTTAATTTTTATATAGCGTTTATCAATTTTTACTCAACATTAACATCAACATCAACATCAACAACATCTTTATCCCAAATTAATTGAGGTCGGATTTATCAATTTTTACTAATTTAAAAAATATTTTTATTATTTTTCTTAAAATATTTTATTTTTAAAAACTCATCTTTCATCGCATACTACAATAACCATTCAAGTAGGGTGGTTGTCAAGAGAATTTGAAGAGAGAATGAGGAATAATAGATGGGGTTTGTTGGTGCATAAATGAGGACATCAATTAGAGATTCTATCACACATATCAACACAAGCATTGTGTTAGAGAACTTTAGCCATGGGCTGCCCATACAATGCATAGAGGTTGATGGAAGAAATGGGTTTGAAGTAGTTTGAAATATCTCATTGAAATGTGATCAATTTCAGGATTAATTTATTTTTAGAAAAATAATATTATTAGAAATGTGATTTTCATTAATGACTTAATGTACCCTCGCCCCTCTCCATGGAGACATTGAACTTGATTGTAGTCTGTAGACAAATAAAAAAAATGGAAAAGAATGTAATTAAAAAGTATTTTAAGAAAATAAACATAAAAAACTGATTATAATTATCACCAATTTATACTTACTACTTTTTATTATCATTTATACTACCTTTAAATTAATATAGAAAGTCAGTGAAATAAATGGTAGTATATGTTTTGGAAATAAATTTGATCCAAAATTATATAAATAGTAGTAAGAGATGGTATATATAAACTGGTAATAAATATAACCAACCTAAACAATCAAGGGTTTGTTTCAATTTAATTTAAATTTTTTAGTTCTTCAAATTTGATTTGTAATATAAATTTTGAAAATTGAATTTAAAAATACAAAAAACTTATTTGAATATAATTGGATCCAAAATTGAAGAGAAGTTGAATTTATTTATAAAAATATCATTAATTAATCGTTATAATTAATTGTAAGGTTATCATCTTAAAACAATTTAAAATTTAAAAGAAATTAAGTTTATTTATAAAAATATCATTAATAAATTTTCATAATTACAAACTGTCACCCTAAAAACATTAAACCAAAAAAAAAATTGAGAACATCTCTAAGAAAAATGTAGTTTTATAAACTAAAAAAATTATTATTTTGGAAGTCATTTTTAAAAAAAATATCACTTTTTAAATAAATATTATTATTCGTTTATTTTTAAAACTAAGCAATTGTGTTTAGAAAAATTAGACCGTGGAAGAATTTCATCCAGTTTTATTTCTCTCTTTTTTTGTTTTGGAATTTATTTTTATCTATTCCGAATAAATTTTTTGTCACAATTAAGCATATTTGAACAACTGAAAGACTTTTTTTTTTTTTTTTTATGGGGAAAGGGGGAAGAAGAACATAAACAAGAGACCAGAGACCCAAAGAAAAATTTCCCAAAAAAATAACCCGAAAGAACCTCATTGTCCTGAGATGGGCTTTGCCCATTTTCGATTGTTACAAATTCTGCTGTTACTAGGAATCTGGTCTTGGAGCTTTTTAGGCACAGCAAATTTGGGCTTAAGATTTGACTCATTTACTTATGCATTTTTTTATTTTTCTAAATTTGTATATATCTGATGATATATATCTTGGTGTTTGTTATTTTAAAAGATATGAAATTATTTTTTTTTTAAGTGAGAAAAAGAGACACATAATAAAAATTATAAGGAGAAAAGTGGATGATTTTTTTAATTTAAATTTTAAATAAAAAATAATAATTTTAACTAAAATGATCATCTTTAAAATGACAAATATTTTTCTTATCATACAAAAAGTTATCACTTATCCTATTATGAATTTTTTTTTCACTTATCTCCCCAATGGTTTTTCCATCAAAATCCACTTTTAACACTATTAAAATTTGAAATAACTTGTCTATTTTACCTTGTTTTGCATCTAAATTGCATTGTCATTGAAAGTTAGCTACATTCTTCACTTTCAGTCATTCAACTGCAAAGTTTAATGGGGCGTTTGATAGAGGAGAAATTTTTTTTTGTCCAAGAATCTCGATTTGTAAAAATATGATTTTTACATTCATTTTACGATAATATCTGAAAATTTAAAATATAGAAAAAATCAGTTTTTCGGGAATCCTGCCAAAAGCCATGTACCAAACGGCCAGTAAAGACATTTTTGTTTCCTTCTTTTTACATAATTTTTTTCAAAACGTAGTTGATAAATATCGTAGTTTTGTTAATCACTTGATAGAGATTTTGAATTTAATTGTTAATTTTAAAGGGAGTCCTCTTTCAATATGATATTTCATTTACAGAGTGTTTGTCAACTAAAATACAATAGATGGATGATGATGTAATAGATAGTGAATTGAATTAAAAGTAATAACTCAAAAAGTGAAGATATAAATATTAAAATAAGGATAAGGGTGAGGATTGACTCTATATGTTATTTTGATTATATTTTCATATTTTCTAGAGTATCATATAAAATCTCTTAAGATTAATTTTTCTATTTTTTTTATCTTTCATAATTTATTTTCTTACACTAGGAATCACCTATTTAATATAAGAGGAAAATGTTTGTAATGTTGTAGAAAAAAAAAAAAAAAAAACCTGCAGGCACATAACAATCGATGGGGCTCGCATATATATTCTTTTTTTAAAAAAAAAAAAAAAAAAAAGTTATCTATATGCATAACCACTTTTTCTTTTCACAGTACAAATTACAAACTCTTTCCCCTTCATATAAATATAGGATTTCATACTTTGTTTTTCCCGCTTGTTAACACAATACATTATAGCTAGAATTTGAATTTTCGTATGGTAGGAATCACTTATTTAATACAGGGGTTTGCATTTGTTATTTAACTTACACAACACAATTTTTTACACACATAATATTTTGTGGGATCTATACTTTTTGAAGAAAAAAAAAAAAAAAAAAACTACGACACGCAAAACGAATCTAACATAACTCTTATAAAATCCTTTAATATAAATATGGGATTTCATACCTTTTTTTTTTCCCGCTTGCTCGCATAATCCATTATAGCTAGAATTTGAATTTGTCATCGCTTGACTTGATGGGTCGATTTAGGTCGTATATATTCTTGTTGCAGTGAAGTGACAACTTTACCATGTTTGAAGAAAAATATTGTATTGATTAAATGCAGAATTTAAAATGGGATCTGTATTCTACTTAATTAGCTCAGCAAATGTAGTTTAAACTTTTTTTTTTTAATAGATTAGGGCTTTTCATGTAGGCAAAATAAGAGTAAAATGAACAAATTAATTCAAATTTTAATGATGTTAAATATGAACTTAGATGGAAAAATAATAATAGGAAGATAGGGTAAATAATAAGAAAAAATGATAAGAAGATAAATGATAAAAAAAGTAAATTACAAGAGGTTTTTGAAAAAAAAATTCCTTTTTTTATTAATTCTTTTAAACGCGCAAATTCACGTGATGTCAGGTAAACTCGTGTCACTATTTAAAATATTACATGCTTATCAAATATAAATATTCGTAATTAGTTGGGAATTGCTATGAAAAGGATCCATCAAAATTGATACCCCAGAGGTATTACATTGTTTATTTTAAGGAAATAATATTTTTTAGATAAATTTATTTCCTACACATATATTAAAATATGTAGGATTCATACGAGCCATTGTAAGGAGAAGAGAGAAAATGAAAAAATATGAGTCTCAAATATTTTTACATATATATATATATATATATATATATATGAAATAAAATTTATGAGTAATATATTGGTCATGTAATAGAAAAACAAAAAAGAATTGATGTGGGGCTCGTTAATTTTTGTTTCTCTCTCCATTATGTGCGTGCAAGAAAACTTTTTGTTTCCTGTTACATCACTAATATATTTTCTAAAATTTATTTTCTGTAATATGAAAAATATTAAACCCTTATTTTAAAAATAAAATGACCTACATGTGGAAGTTTCTATTTAATTTTAGGGACTTATATTTCTCATGTAGTAGAAGAGAATTTTTTTTCTCCAATTAACATAAAAAAGTGGGTCCCACTACTTAAAAAAAAAAAGAGGTTGCACATATTTTGATGGCTGTGCATGGAGAAAAAATTCCTGCATCAGCAGAGATACATTTCTGTTAATTTTAATGTACATAAAAACTAATTACTTAAAAACATACTTAAAAATAAGGTGAATTTTATGATAGTGTTAACAATTTTAAAGTGATATGAAATTGGCCTGAAAAATTAAGAAGGAAAAATCAATTATCTTACAAATGTTACATGATAAGAAAGAAAGAAATATAGCATACATATAAAAAAAATGTAACTTATTCATTTAAGAAACAATGATATTTAGTAGAGAGTATATGTCTTATCCTTATATCAACCCTTATTCATTTATTTTGGAGAGGACAATGATATTTTTATCTGAAGGTAACAGTAGATTTAGTTAAGAAACAAAAATAACCAATGAACTATAAAATTTAATCATCCCTTTCTTCTCTATTCCTTTGGACAGCTCCAAAATGTTTTACCAGTATGTCTACCACAATGGGCACCAAGTCCTTGCAAGGGACACCCTTCTTATAAACCTCTGCTAAATGTGAATCACTTCCAATTCTCCCTCCCAGGAAAATATCCACACCTTCAGTAACCTTACCATTCTCATCCCTAGTCATACACCCCATGAAACCAATATCAGCAACCTGCACCTGCCCACAAGTGTTAGGACAACCAGTCCAATGCATTCTCACTGGCCTAGTCACTACCACTTGCCTCTCCACTTCTTCAGTTACTTTCAGCGCCCTGGCCTTTGTCTCTATTATGGCTTGCCCACAAAACTGGTTACCAGTACATGCCACCAGTGTTTTCATTAGAAGGGAAGGTTCAGGTGAAAATCTCTCTTTCAATAGAGACTCTTTGAGCAAGGCATCAAGTTTTGAGTTTTCTATATTTGGAATTATTGTGTTTTGCTCTACTGTTAGCCTGAGTTCACCAGTGCCATATTCATCTGCCAAACGTGCTAGCTCATCCATCTCATCTGCTTGGACTCTACCAACTGGAATGTGAATCCCAACATAGCTTAAACCCTCCTGTTTCTGTGGATGAACACCTAAGTAGTCTCTTCTTTCCCATTGTTTCTGAACCAAATCTTCCTGGGATGCCCTCTCCAGTTGCTTCCCTGGCATTCTTTTTTCCACCTCTGACCTGAATACTTCTATTCCCTGCATTTGCCAAACATTTATTACATAATAGGATAACCAAACATTTTAAATATTCCATCATTAACACCCGGAAAAACAACCTCTTCGTAAAAATGGAAGGGTAAGATTATATATAATCAACTCTCATTCCCATTCTTAGAAGTCGGGGAGCTTTATGCACCAGGATTTATCCTATTGACACCCCGAGATATTTTATAAATTGCATGATTTTTTTTTTATGATTTATAAAAGAAAGGATTATATCATAAGTAAATCATCCTATTAAGGTACATGTTTGATTTAACAGCATGCAAAACAGGCAAAATTAAATAAAATGATTACTTACCAGTTCGTCAATCAACCACATCATTCTTGTTTTCTGTCTGTTCCCTCTGGTGCCAAGGTCCCTATAGGCCTCAAGGACAGCTTTACAAACAGGGATTACATCATCTGCGGAAACCCATGCATCAAGTGGAACTGCTTCTGCACAACGCTTGGGACTAAAGAAACCACCAACCAATAAGTTGAATCCAAAACGACCATCCTTATTAGCAGGTATGTAAGCCAGATCATTAATGTGGGGATGCTCAAAGAGATCATGGGACCCCACCACACATACATTCCACTTCCTTGGCCTGCACAGATTACAAATGCCCCACACCAATTCTTGTTCAGAAATTCCGTCCATCTCATAGGAATTGGAAATGAATCATTTCATCTCTAATTTAACATGTTCATATAAGAATATCTCGATTTTTCATCCATAAATAAATTAACGGTTATCCCTTCTTCACTCATTATCCTAACATGCTCTCTCTCGCCTCTCCTCATTGTTGATTTGTCTATGAACAATTGAAATCACCTTAACCTGATCATATTAAATGAGACATAGAGAGAATACAGTCTCCCGAAATTTATGAACAAATATGCTTATAGATCATAAAAGTCTTAATGCTTGCAATGTAACTATATTATAGCAATAACTAATAACTGTAAAATCATTTCTGCAGCCACTTTACGTACAGCAACAACATGTGTATGGTTATGATTCCCCACATTTAATGTTTTCATCTTTGTATGGTTATGATTCCCCACATTTGATGCTTTCAAATATATATATGGCAAGTATTTGATTGTTGTACGTACAGCAGCCGCACAAATGTAAACTCCTAACTAAATATATACTTACAAATTTGACATAGTTGGGTTGCCACGTGAATTGGCAGTGATGAATTGAGATAACAAGTTAGTGAGAGGTCGGGTATCAACAATCTCATCTGGATCAATTCCTGCAAGAGGGTTACCCACAGGGTTTCTAACATTGTCCATGCCACTCTGAAGACTTGTCAACCCAACTTCTGCGAGGCCCTTAAGAATTTCAGGGACATCAGGTAGCACCACACCTCGAATTTGCCAATTCTGTCTCGTTGTCACATCAGCACACCCATCTTTCCCGTACTTTCTGATCACACTCGCCAAGTATCGTGTTTGGGCACTCGTTGTTACCCCATTTGGAAGTTTCAGTCTCATCATGAATCTACCATCTGGTTTTGCCAATAGAAACAAACCCAACTATTACTTCAACATAAGAGCTATTTACAACAAAGTGCATAGTTTTATTCTTAAATAAATGAAAGAGTATATTCAAAAACAGAATTTGAATTAACCAAACCAAAAGAATGAGAAAACTGTGAAGTCAAACTTACACTGATGCTTTCTCCTATGAAAAAGGCCAAGCCATTTGAGTCTAACATCAATATCATCCTTAGTGAGCTTAGACCTTTCAATTTCCTCAAGAGACATCTTTGACAAATCTTCAATACCAGATTCCATAAAAAGCTTCATGGGGTCTTTCTCAAGCTTCACCTTTTCTTGAGGATTGATGCCTGCCCTGTACTCTTCCTTCAAAACCCAGTATCCATCTCTTTCTTCCACTCTAGGCTCCAACCTTGATGCCTCCACCTCTGAAGAAACCGAAGCCACAGTTGGAGTTGCAGATAGCCATGTCTTGGGGCGAGAGTTGAGGTAGCATGGAGGGGTGAAAAAGCGAACAGAGAAGGAAGACATGGTGTTGAGAATGAGATTGAGGTTATGGTAATGGCTGTGAGAGAGAGAAGGGTGAACATTTTTGTAGGACGTGAGTACAAAATTGAAGGGGGACCTTACGAGCAAGCAAGAGCTTCTTTCTTAGTTCGATGGTCCTTTGGGTGGTGCCAAGAGTCGCTTTGTGATGATCAAAGGATTTAACAAAACTTTGACTTTTTCAGCTTGTAACATCAAAAATTCATATTGTTGACAGAAATTCAGAGCAATCAAAATTTTAGCTTTTATATTTTGAAACATCATAAATTCATATAGTTCGTAAAAATATTTTTTTTTACTATTTCTATTAATAAATTCATTCTTCGGACTAGTTCAGTTTGAGCACTGACTTTAGCAGCCGGAGCGGCTCTCTGAAGACCATTTTTTCTATTCTATGGGCTCAAACTCAAAGCCTCTAGCTCGAACTTGTAGAAATATTATTTATTCGCATGGATTTGGTTTATTGAAAAATTTGGAGAAAAATATTTAAAATCATAAGAAGGATATGTTTAATTAATTCAAAAGAATTTGAATTAAAAAAAGAAGGTAAGAATGATGTTATTCTTTAAAAAAATATAGAATGAGTGATTAAATTATTCTTAAGAAAATGGTCTAATTTAATATATATATATATATATATATATATATATATATATATATATATATATATGAGAAAAATGATTGTCCTTTTAAATGACATAATTTGTGTCGTTTCACTCTCACAAAGAGGTGAGACCCACACATTTATTTTTTTTGTCTACTCTCTCCCCCTTTTATCTATCTCATTCTCTCACTTAAAATGACACAACTTTACATCTTTTAAAATGATACACATTTTTTAATATGGGAAAAATGTTTCTGCAATCACTGCAGATAAGTTGTCTGCGTTTTTTTTCAAAATAACGTCGTTTTGGTATTAAAATCTTAAAAAATTATAAATATAAAGACCATTATAACCCTGAAATAAATTAAAATTACAAAAATACCATGATTTTCGTCGCAAAACGACATCGTATTGGGCTTACTGCATTTAACTTATCTGCAATAACTGCAGAAAAAGCGAACCCTTTTAATATATATATATAGAGAGAGAGAGAGAGAGATATATGTGTGTTAATTTCATACATTATTTTTTCTTTGAAAACTGATTTTTGAATATAAAAAATCTTACAATGTTTTTACACTTGAACCAAAAAAAAAAAGGAAAGTTGAGGGTAATGTGTGTTGACGTGTGTTTTTTATTTTATTATTTATGCAAAGGTTGTTAAAAAGTTTTATAGGCTAAAAGAGACATGATGATACCACAATGTGCGGAACTAGCAAGTAACAACTTCGTCTATGTTACATTATATTATATTATCTTGTAAAAGGAAATATGTTTATTTCTAACTACTGAACTGGCCCTTTGGTTTGCCAATGCCAACTTCACAACATCTTTTTAATCATGTAATCTTTCGTTTCAGTTGTAGCTACCTTGGAATCAGACAACCTCAGCCCATCATATTCTATTCCTTCTGTCATCTTCTATCTTCAAATACAAGCACTATCTGGCAATACAAACTTGTACTCAAGATAAAATCATAGAGGTCGCTGTAATATTTTATTGACAGAGCCTTAATTATCTCCAGCATTTTATATAATAAATTATAGAATAGAAGATAAACTTAAAAACTTCTAAAGTAAAAACAACCTGACCACTATGGATTTGCCAAAACCAGTTCCCTTGATTTTTTGAACTTTGCTATGTAAAAAGCAAACTTTACTTCAGAAGAAACAAAATTTAATACTTACAAAAGCAGTTGTGCCAAGCGTCAACCAAAACAACATATTCACATTATAAATATAAAAACAATGGGAATACTTAAAAAGTCATCCTAGCAACACAAAATCATAATGTATTCTTGAGTGAAATATCTGGGGCTTCTATTAAATTTTTCACCCACAATATACAAGAGCTTTCATGCTGTCGACTTTTATGACTGTATCTAGATAATCAAACAAACTAAACATCAAATAAGGATCTTCACTGGATAACTTCTCGCACACAAACGAGTTTAAATTTGAAGTCAGATATTTTCCAAATGTAAATCCTCAATGAGTTGGCCAGGAGGCCAGTCATTAATAAAGCCATGCCAATTCCAACGCCATACTCATTCCTAAAACTCTAGCCTTGGCTAAGTGGCAGTGCTAGATATTAATGTAAAGCAGAAAGCCCATTAACACATGCTACACAAAAATAACTTCAAACTTGGCACAAGGATTGCTTTCCAAGTGATTCCTGAAATCCACATCCCCTTTGAAGCTGAAGGTATGAAGGGCTTCCCTTTGTGTCAAGCCCACAGGGTATATTCTGTAAAATTTCAATTCATTGCCTCTTCTTAAAATTTCAGGTCTTTCTGGCTTCCATATAGGTACATGATTCATGGATTTGAACTTCAAAACAACAGCAGCCTTCAAGGCCTCCAGAGTTAAATTGCTAGACCTGCCAATTGGCATCAAAAAAATTCAATTATCAATATGTTATCTCAAGACATTCATCTTATAAAGATGGAATCAGATAAAATGAGAAGAGCCACAATAATGAATATAGTCTTTTCAGTTGGTCTGACTCTAACCAAACACAACCATATGATATTCCTTTTTTTGGTTTTTTTGGCAGCTGTTATACTGCTTATGATTGATTGTCAAGCAATCAAGAGAAGAGATGCCATCAAGTTTGAGGGAAAGTCCTGGAAGCCTAGCATTAGCAGACCTATGGTAATTTATATAGGATTATAGCCTAAGGGAAAAATTACTAATCAAAGTAAGTTGTATACCTCAAGTAAATGGACTCCATCTCAAACCTTCCCCTTTCTCTGACATAGATATGATACACAGTTTCTGACCCTCTAGTGCACTTGCATGGGCGTTTCTTGAATTCTGGGCTCTTTTCTTCCTTCTCTCTAATCATTGTGGCCAAGTGAATGCAAAGGCGGCAAGATGAATGTACAGCTGCCATATCCACAAGGGCCTTGAAGGAATCAGACGGGCCCTCATACTTCCACCTATTAATAAGATAACTCACGATGCATTCAGATGATCATAAATTAAAGAAAAAACACAACACCAAATCCATTCACATTTTAAAATCAGAAAAACTCAAGATGCGTCATTTAGAAACAGATGCCATCAAACTGTCCAGATTTTGTAACGTAATATTATAGAATCCAAATTTGGAGTTAAGTCATTGCAGGCAATGTAAATAACTGAATGATATAAACTGCTGGTCACCAATTATCTTTGTAAAATGCATGCGTGTACACAAAATGAGCAAGAAAGGGATGCCTAAAAGGGATGACAACTTAAGAAGCTTTTTTGTTTTCATCATGCAATTTACCTCAAAGATTGATTGTATGCTTCGGGATTTTCTGCTAGGTGTCTCATGGTCTTGGCAATGGACTCAACATCTTCTACCTCTTTAATATGTAAAATTGAACCAGGAGAAGGAGCAAAATCCTGAATATTTGGAGCACCAACAACCACAGGGACAGTTCCTACAATAAAGGAGATTAATTTGCAGAAGCAGCATCATAAGTAGGTTCTGCTGATATTTTAAGTGTGGGAGTTTTAAGAATCCAAAACCCATTATGAAAATGTTCCATAAGTTTACATGGAAATGTATTTTTCTCTTCTACACATAATATCCATGTCGGAGCATTCAAGAACACCAGAATATGAGTAACTGCAAATAACTGCATTAATAGTGATGTAACTGCAAATAATTGCGAGATGGGTTCCAAAAGCAACTAGAGCATCGCGGTGAGCCTCTATTTTCAAGATCAGGGAAACATAAAGAGACTAGTGAAGGTTCAGGAATGATGATCTCTCTTGTCAGTCAAGAAAGTTGAGTTGCCGGTGTTCAATGGGATGGATCCATTTTTGATCGTTATGGAGAACATTATTTGGGCAATCCTTTTTCACAACTCAAGGTGTTGGCACAAACAGGAACAGTGGGTGATTACGCTGAGGAATTTGAGGAATTTGAAGGAATTTGAAATGCTGGCTGCACAAGTTCCTCCCATACCAGACGAACAGTCTTTGAGACTGTTTCTTGGAGGCCTAAAGGAGAAGATTAGACTAGAGGTATTATCTATGACTCCTACTGATAAATATAAAGCAATTTCTGCTGCCAAACTTGCAGAGAAGAAGCGCTGGGAATGTTGGGAGACTCCAAACAAATAGGAGCATGGAGAGAGAAAGCTGGTTTTTGTAAGAATGTGGCCATTAAGTCACCAAATTGCTGGAAGCAAGGGTAGTGAAGCAAATGGAAATAAGCTCGGCACATTTCAAAATAATCCCAAACTCATGGAAGGAACGAGAAACAAACTAGTGGGGATGATAAGCAGCAAGCCTAATGAAGGAGTGTGCCACCTTTCTTACCAAGAATTAATGGATAGTAAGGCCAAAGGGTTGTGTTTTAAGTGTGGCCAACATTATAGTCCAACCCACCAGTGTCAAGATCGTCAGTTGAAACTCCTTATTTGGGAGGAAGAAGATCTAGTGGGCAATTCAGAGTCCTTGTTAGCAGTGGAGGAAAAAGGAAAATGATAAGTGATACTCAAGGCCAATTTCCAGCCTTCTGCCTTGAGGACAAGGCAAATTTCTAGAGAGGGTGGTATTGATAGAAATATAATTTGAGTTATTGACTAGTAATGGGTGTAATTCAGTTATGTAATTGGGTTAGTTATTCTTGTAGTATTTAGGAGTCAGTTTGAGTCAGTTATTTAAATAAATAACTGCAGTAATAAGTGCAGTAAAATGTAGGAGTCAGTTATTTTAGAAGATTCAGTCACTTTATAAAATAACAGTAATAATAGTGATGTAACTGCAAATAATTGCAGCAGCGTTGGGGGCTCTCTATATAAATGAAAGTAGGAGGGATGAGTAGGATTATTCTGTTTTTCTGATTGTATTTCAGTGTTGGCTGAAGGGCTGGGAGAATCTTCTCCTTTGCTGGGAGCATTGCTCTTGGAAACGAAAAACAGATGGGATGCAAGAACCAATATAAAGTATTTAATAATGTTGCATACGTAGTAAATGCAAGTATGAGAGAATGAAGGGAGATAATAAATATATTTCCATACCAGCAACAAGGGATTGGAAGAATTTTTCAGTTACATAATCCTCCTCATTGGAATTTTCAAATGCTAAGCTAAATTTGTAGCGTTTCAGGGTTTCCACTTTGTCCACTGCAAAAAAAATCAAATAATAATCATAACAATATTGATTAATAAATAATAACATATTGATTGGAACTTTGTAAGTTATTGTCACACACAGTGGAGTAATTTCAAATGACTTAAAAATCAATTAATCATACATCAATCAGATCCTTATTTTATTTTACACATTTATAATGATAATAATTGAGACTTATCATATTGTTTGTTTATGTTCAATGTCATAATCAAGCTTCAAGTATACTTGTATTTGTTTTCCTTCCTGCTAATGTGTAGTGAACCAACCACCCATTCTTTCAAAAAGCATTTCAAAGTAAAAATTCCAGGAAAGAGATAGGAAACTTCTACTTCCAAACTGCTTCATTCTTTTATTAAATAAAGTTTATGCTTTCATTAAAAAAATTTACTGTTCAGCATCACTAGAAAGCTTGGTGAATCCGAGAAGAAATGAAGAAAGGAGAGAACGGGGAAGCAGAGAAGTTAGAGAGAACAAACTGATAACGTTACCCAAAAGTCAAAACACTGACCGACGTTCAAGATTAGAGCAAGAGCCATTTAAAAGACCCCATGTGACAAAACTAAATGCCAAAAATAACTGAGAAGAAAAGATCCAAAATATAATCCTCAATAAAATCCTAAAATTACTTTCCTGTGTTTATGCCTATCATAAATGTTCCATTCCTTTTTGGGATTTCCATCATGGTACCAGATATATACTCAAGTAAATCAAATTATGTGGTGCAATTGATTGAAAGAGAGTTTCAATGTAAATGACAACGGATTAAATTATACAATTATAATTAAACGTTTCAGAACCTAGTCATGGATGCTAACCTGACAGCTAAAGCATTAAGTTTACAGGTTTTCTAAGTTTAAAAAAGTGTCATAACCTCTGACTTAGTGACCTAGATGGCAAGATCTAGTGATCAAATGTTTGGAACTTCTACTTTTGTAATATCATCTGAGAACAAGGTGATTGGCAATATGTGCTCAGACCATGCTTTCAGGTCCAATGATTAATGATATTCATTGAAAGCTTTTTGTAGATAGAAAAGATTTTTTTCCGGAAGATTGTATATAGAAAATATATTCTTAGAAACTAGGAAGCATTTGAAGGCACATTAGAAACTATGTTACAATCTTTCAATGTCTAAAATCTGCAATCTAATGACTTTCTTCCCTCATATTCCCAAACAAAATAACCACAAAAGCATCTAATAAAAAAATCAATTGCTTATAATAAATAAATTCATAATCTAAAAGGTAGAATGGATGCGATTTAAATTTGAAAAACACTTAACATGGTAATCACAAAGGGAATACTGCAACTGCAATTTTGACAAGAAAAACATTTGTAGTAAGAGGGACAAAAGATACTAACAGACATTAATGTTTAAATTTATCAAAATTATTACGTACCTCTTCCGTCATGGTTCCTATGACAACCACCATAAGAGTCAATCTTGATGTTTTCTTTTTCAAGGGCTTCAAGAGCTTGCAGCCGGAAATTTCGAGCACCACAATTGGAAATGAATGCAGCTGCAAGAGCAGCTTCAGTTTTTGGCTTTACCGGTGCCATGATGTCATACTCGGCCCATGAAAAATATCCGACAGGAACATCAGATGATAGACTGGTTGTCATTACAATGTTATATCCCCTCCTAGTACACAAGGACATCATATTATTAGTTTAATTATTGACATTTTTTTTTTAACTTTTGGAATGGAACACTGTCCACTATAATAGAGACAAGAAAGAAGAAATTCATTTGAAGAAAAGTAAAAACATAGCAGTTAGCATTATGAACTAATTATCAATTGCAAAGAAAAGTAGACAAAGTTGCAGACGTGGTCAAAAAAAGAGAAAAAGACATAGTTGCAAATTAAAACCCTGTACCACATTAGCCTATAGGCTATAGGTTATATTTACCCTTATAGGATCCACAATCCCATGACATTAAACCAGGAATTTATTCTCAGGATTAACCACACATTTCCATATAACTATAAAAACAATACAAAACCATGGTTTCAGATGAAGGCAATAAATGATCCAATCTAATGAATTAACACTTTATGATAGTGCTTACCCACCGTCGTGCCATGGCAATATTGTTCTCTGCATAGTATTGTGCTGATTCCATTGATCGCAGAACACTAGCTGTTCCAGCTTGGTGAAGTAAGCCAAATGTAGCATCAGGTCTGTTATCCCCAATAAACCCAAATTTACATGCCACGGAACACGACTTATACTCCTGCATTTGAATGAACTAAAAATTTTAGATGGACAAGAAGAAAAACAGTGACTTTACAAGAACAATTATCAGTAGGTTACATACATTAATTATTTTTTGACCTATCAATAACGAAACAAACATGCCCAGAAACCAAAAAACAAATGTGCTAGAAGATGCTTATACTAACTTGTGAACAACTACTTATTCTTCAAAATTTATAACAATGATATCAGAGAATGTAAAAAAGGAAAGAAAAAAGAAAGAAAAGGAAGTTAATAGTTAAAATTAACAAGACCTGGTCAGCTCCAGAAACAAAAACAGGTTCCTTGTCAAAGTCCCTTGAATATGTGACAGCATCCTCCTTCTCCAACCATTCCTCACAGCTCTCTGATTCCAAATTCCGATCATCACCCACCATATCTAACCCCAAATCATCACTTTCCACCGGCACACGGGACCGGTAGAACAAGTCAGCCAGGGTGTCAACCATGGCTGCGTTCTTCGCCATATCAAGCCTACCCAGAAACGCGATCTCCGCAATGACCACAAGGGCCACAAACAGAGGCATTAGATTAGACCATTTCTTCTTAGGAACCGCTGCACCAATACCTGTGGAAACAGAAACTGGTAAACCTTCTTGGGTCGTCTCTGTTCTCGAGCCTCGTTGATTCGAAACGAGACCCATCAATCAATTCTACCTCCAACTTCCAATTCCTTAATTTCCCACCTTTCTCTTACCCAGAAACTGCGATAGAGAAAGAAAAAAACAAAGCTTGGGAACAATAATAGCTACTACGACTCCATGAGCTTGTTTGTAAAAGGAAGAAGAAGAAGAGGAAGACAAAAATTGGTTGAAGGGAAGCTTGGAATTGTGCCTCCCTCGACGAAGAAAAATAAAAAAACGCAGACTTTGCACCTTAGTCACCGAAGAGGCATAGATTTTCCATATTCAAAGTCTACGGCGTGCTTTGCTTAGGTGAACTCACTGAAACCAATGAGCAAACACAAAACGACGAGAAAAAATGAGAATAAGGCCTTCTTATTAGTCCGAAGCTTCTAACGACTGTGTTTGGGTAAACAGGTTCATAGTACAATGACCATTTAAATTTGGGCTTCCGAGGTGTGGTCCTATCAGGTGCATAGCCATATATAATGGACTCTTGCTGTCTTTGCTTGGGTTAAAAGTAAGGTGCAATACATACCCATAATAATATTAATAATTGATCTAATTATTGTTGTTTCTAACTTTCTATCGTGGAACTGAAAATTCATTTTCTAATTTTTGGTTTCCCTTTTGATAATGGGAATTGAAATGTTATCTTTATCGATGGATTATTTCACAGCGAAACTGAGGTTTGAGGGGTTATTTTAACCCAACTTTTTCTCAACAATTTATTCGTTACAAGATTTAATTGTTGGTAGATGTGGTTTAGATATCACGAATGTTCAAGAAGATAGTAACTATAAAAGCACCGGGAACATGATACCAAACACATATACCAAACCTACTTTAGTAGGTAGTGAAGCAGTTCAATATATTCACTGGTTCAGTTATTTGTTAGTATTTCACATTAAAAATTGGATTTAACCATCTTAAAGCTATAGTACAACAAGATTTGCTGAGATTTGCTGTCGAAAACGTGGGAGTCCATGCACATGATTGAGGAACCTCCCATCCAAATAGATTAAATAAATAAAGAGCTGCACCTTTATGTTACACGAACTTAAGGAAATGATAATAGCTTTAAAAATTTATATTATTATAAAATCTTTATCTATTTATGTATTTTATTTTAATTGTGAGTTATACATCTTTTTTAAAGTCTTCCAATATTATCTTAAGTTAGGAAGAAATAATATTATGCCACTTTTTTTGTGTGGAATATTATGACACTTTATTTCTTAGCAGTGTCATTATTCCTATAAATTTTATGAGAAATAGATTTAATAAAATATTTATTGTTCTATAATATAACATATTATTTTGTAATAATATCACTAATTTATATCAGTGAAATTATTTATATAATGATAAAAGAAACAAAATTAAAAAATTAAAAATTATATTTTTAGTATATATATATATATATATATATATATATATATATATTGAATAGAAAGAATTTTGTGTTTCTCGTTTTTTTATATTATCATACCAATTTACTATATAGTGCATGTTAATTTTAAATTTTACAACTAAAAAAAATTATTGGACATAGGTTAAAAGTTACATGAAATAAAAAATATAACAATAATTTGAATTTCAATTTATTCTTTCAGGATTAAAATAAGATTAAAAATTGTTATGGGCTAATTATAGAGGCCCATAGTTTAGAAGGTCCAAAAATAGCAACAACAAAGAGAAAACTAAGGGGGTGTTTGGTAGGTGGTTTTTAATGGGATAGATGGGTAAGTGGTGGTGGGAAATGGAGAATGACTAGTTTGGTAGAGGATTAAATGAAATAAATCAGGGCATTCTCTTTCCCCATGCAAATCTGAAATCAGTGTGTTTCGGTCTGAAAATCACTGTTGGAGAAACCCACCTTCGAGGTGGTATTCATAGAAAACTAGGGAAGTGATATATTTAGGTGCCAAATTTTTTACGTAATTGCCCCTCTCCAGAAAACCCCACCTCCAATTGTTTAATATTCAGGGGTATTTTCAAAATTTTGTCATATTTTCTCATCAATCTTTTATTTTCAACCAAACATAGTCAGTATATTTTACACAATTTTCCTGGTAATATTTCGGTCTACCAAACAATATTTTTAAAATTTCCCCACTTATTTTACTTTACAACCATTTCCCCACTATTTATATTTACCTGGTTATAAAAAATTTCTCCTATACCAAACGCCCCGAAGGGAATTTAAGGAAATAATCCTTAATGGATACTAATCCTGGTGCGATAGCAATTGATCAAGTATTGGACCCCAAAATCCAAAATTCAACTACTAACAAGTAAATTCTATAAATAAGAGGTAAAATCTACAAGTAAGCTACTTACACTCACTCTCTAATTTCACCTGACACCACCCTTTTGGTTATGCTGTTATTTCTTGTACACAGCGATCTGTTACTCTCAAAGATATTTCTTTCAAAGATACTTGAAAGAACCCTTAGATCTAATATCAATTCATTAGTCTCTAATTAAACATTTCCATCAACCGGATATAACACAAATTATTTTATTACATATTTTATCCACTATGAATAAAATTTCATTTCAATTAAATTTTTTTAAACTTTTTTAAATTTAAATACACAAAAGTTAGGACTTTATCAAGTGAAAATGATTTTGGAAGAAAAATAAACTTATCCTGAGTTATACATGACTGACATCAGTGACTTGAGACATTTATGCCATTTACATGAATTATTTTATAGGAAAACATTTTCTCATGTCGTAGGAGAGTTATTAACTCCTACTAGTGACTCTTTGATTTTTGTGCAATATTTTTTTTTTACTTTTTTATTTTTTTAATAAATGTGGACCCCATATAAAATGTATCTACAGCATGAGAAAATTTTCACTTAGCACATGAGAAAATCAAAACCCTTATTTTATATGTAATTATATATTGGAAAAATGTGTCTTTTAAAGGACATAAACTTAAGTCGTTTTAAGAGAAATAGATACAAATAAGTAAGATTCACATCTTTATTTTGTCGTTATATTTTTAATAGGACTCATATCTATTTGTATCTATCTCTCTCTTAAAATGATATAAGTTTGTATTCTTTTTATAATACACACATTTTTCCTATAATATATAGATATAAATACAAATTAATCCGGGGCAAGTGAAAGTTATTCATTACTAGTTTCACAAAAATAAATAATAATAATGACAATAATTTTTTTTTCCAGTTTGTTTGTTTGTTATTTTATTCCTTGACGAATTGAGATTCGATGGATTATCTTAGAATGAGTGCAACTTCTGTTATGTAGGCTTTGTTAATAAGATCATCGCTATAATATACTATATACTATGCCATCAAATAGAAAAAGGTATACGTCAATAGAAATTGAATAAAAATGCTGTTGTGTCTATCTTATCATGAGTTGACATTATTTTAAATGTACCCATCGCGAGTTTAGAAAAAATAAAATAAAAAACTTTTTGGTCGATATATTTTATAAAAGGTAAAAGATCTCTTCTGTCAATGTAAATAAGTTATCTTCAATGAACTCAAAATAACGTCGTTTTTAGGCAAAAATCAAAGTGTTTTTATAATTCTAATATATTACTAGATTATATTAGTCTCTATCATTATAATTTTTTAATCTTATAACCTCAAAACAGCGTTATTTTAAGCTCAATAGAGATAATTTTATTTCTAGTGACCGAAAAAAAATATTTTTCCCTTTATAAAAATATATTAATAATGTCTTATATTTTTTCTATCACAAAATATCAAATTATCTCCTACAAATCAAAATAACGTCTTTTAAGATTTAAAAAAATATTAATATTGCTAAAGAGAAATAAAATTATCAAAATACTCATTTTTTTTTTCAAATCCTAAAATTATATCGTTTTGAAATTTTGTTTCATGTGACAAGTTGCGAAACAATTTTTTTCCTAATAACATTTACCTGTGTAAATGTTGAAAATAATCTTTCAATAGATTTGATACACTACGCTACCATAATAAGCCTAAGAAAAGAATGATGCCCATTGCGATTTTCATTTTTGGAAGGATTTCAATTCTAATATTGTAAATATTTATCTGCTGATATGTTACATAAATTATTAAATACAGCACGCTCGATCAAATACAGGAGATAGTTGATTTCATCCAGTATTATATATGTCTATCTTAATACAAACGAATCTCTCCTCCCAATACAAGGAATCCAAAAATGATACATAAGCCAAGAATTGTTGACGATTCAACTAGAATTTAGAATTTGACATGCCCATAATGTAATAAGTTCAAGGGTTATATTTATTTCACTCAATATGAGATAATTCATCTTCTTACACATATAATAAAGGTAAATTTTATCTTTATTTTTTTTCTCTTCAATCATTTGTAAATCTCTCTTATTATTTTGTTTCATTAACATAAAATAATTTATCTATATCAACGTAAGAAAAAAATTCCCAAGTTCAATGTTAAAAGTCGCAACTCCTATAAAAATAATTCAAACTCAAAACCGGATTAATCAAACCCATTAAGACTTTGGACAGCAATTGTTATCTAAAAAAATTGAATGAGCAAGGTCAATGAGCCTTGAAAGACAGTTCAATTGCACCACGCCCCCAAAAACAATGGGACACGGAAAGCGGAAAACAAAGACAGTGAACCATAGTTCAACGAACATACACAGATGCCAGAACCTACATTAAAATCTTGTGGCTAAGAAAAAAGTTCATAATCTCTGAACTGCATAATCACTTGGAAGCAAGTTTGATCAAGGATATCATAGTCCTCTCGTACTGCCTCATCTCCGACTGATAGATACAATTTATTGTAAAGAAGCACATAATGGATTTCTCTATCTTTTGAACCATTGAAGTACAATTAGTGAAAGGGAACATGAGGAAGCTAACTAACGAAATGTATCACTCATCTTGGATACCTAAGTAGCTGTTTAATCATCCAAAAATTCATCTAACAAAAAATCATATAAAATCTTAATATTTACTACGTCTACCAGTCTATGCATTTGCTATCAAAGGTAGAAACTTACACTATATTACATTAAACCCCTTTGGATAACCTAACCAAGACTAAATTCCACAAGAATAGTTTTCATGTATGATTTTCCTTTACACAAGTCTCTCAGCAAATTTCTTGAAGAGCACCAAGCGAATTTGTCTACTCTCTCAAGTTGTATCAGCATTCACTGTAAAATCTGAGGTTTCAATTCTAAGTTGCATAAACTTACTTTCCCCTTAGAAAGTAAGGCAGATCAGACTTTGGGAAATGGAAGCTCTCTGGGAGTTCCGATAGCAATTCATGTCCTTTTTCTTCTGAGATTGAATTACTACTAGATGAAATATCTGTCGTGTGAAATTTTCCAAATGGCAGTAGCTGCACATCCAAGGAATTTGAAAAGTTAAGCAAGACATTCAAGGTTATTTGAGATTTTTATCAGAAAAAGAATAAATTCCACACTACATGATCGCTGCTTGAAGCATCAGCTACAGCTGTCTTCAACCTTTTTGCCACGGGCATGCAGCATGACCTGGCTACTTCATCCTTGAAGTTTTGATCAGAGACCTCTACCAAAAAATAGAAAAGTAAACTAATTGAAATAATGCCAACAAAAATTTTACAGAAGAATATAGATATTACAACCTTATTCCCGTTTAAAGAACTTTCTCAATCATGCCATATTTATAAAGTCTTAGCATTTTACAAGCAGTGTAGGAAAGTCTCAAAAAAAATGGTTTAAAAGCATAGTGAGAAAGAAATGATTCTTTGACCTTGAAAACCACTCACGTTAAGGACAAAAAAAAGCTCATATTTGATACACATTTCAAATATCGATATGCATTATTTACAATATAATGTTTCTTAGCAACTCCAAGCATTGCATTACAAAACACTGTTCATTCTGTCCTTGAATGATCTAATAGCTCCCTGTTTCAGCAGAGGATTTACTTCTCACGAAAAGGCATGAAACATAAAAATGTAATGTGACAACAAATTTCTGTCAGGGCAATATATTCAATCTATACTTGATTGATGAGGATGTAAATCACAGAATCAGAGCAGGGTGGATGAAATGGCGCAGTGCATCTGCATTTTTGTGTGACCGCAAAATCCCCCTGAAGTTAAAAGGAAGATTCTATAAAACGGCAGTAAGACCGGCAATGCTATATGGAGCAGAATGCTGGCCAGCACATAGGCAACATGAGCATAAGATGGGAGTAGCAGAGATGAGGATGTTAAGGTGGATGTGTGGTTACACAAGGATGGATAAGATAAGAAATGAAGATATTCGACGAAAGGTCGGAGTAGTACCGGTAGCCGAGAAGATGAGAGAACATAGATTGAGGTGATTTGGGCACGTGATGAGAAGACCCATGGATGCTCCTGTAAGAACATAAGTTTGTTACCAAGAGCTCAACACAAAAAGAGGCAGAGGTAGGCCGAAGCTTACTTGGGGGAAAGTAGTAAAACAAGATTTAATGGAGTGAGATATAGATTGGCGGACAGTATGTCTTAGAACGGAATGGAGAAAAGCTATAAGTATGGTGGAGGGTTAGACCCGCTGTTATTCCTATGTTCCAGATGGTCCCTTTTTAGTCCTTTTCCCCTTCATTTCCCCCACTTCTTCTTGTCCCTTTCTTTTTTACTTTTATTTATTTATATATACATATATTGTTATTTTATTTTATCTTATTTTATATTTTTATTTTATTTGTTTATTTTTATTTATTTAGTTTTGGCTTTTTTACTTTTTTACTTTTTTATTTTTTTATTTTTTTTATTTTTAACTTTTTTTCAACCGTTTTGTATCTTTCATGTGGGTTCATCTACCACCGACCCCAATTAATTTGGGATAAAGGTGTTGTTGATGTTGATGTTGATACTTGATTGAATACAGGCACTAAAAGAAAATTATGTGAAACAAGTTGTTTACAAAACATTTCGTGACATGGTTGGCAAGGATTTAATTAGAACAGGAGAAAAAGGGGAAGGGCTCAGTTATCATATTACTTCTGTAAAACCATTGCATATATAAGGAACAAAAGCTTTGCAAAAGAGTCAATAAGTTTCATCCACATTAAACACCCAATTCTCAAAGGATAAAAAGAAACTCAAACGTATATGTATGAAGGCCGAGCATCAGAATCTAGACCCATAAATGAGAATATGAGTCCCCCACTCATTTGATGTCTCAAATAGTATATTTTACACATACCGGCTTCAATCAGCACTTAAAAATTGTTATTATTCCAAAATTTATCATGTTAAAATTTAACTCTCATAATCTGTTTGGGCGAGCCTTGGAGTAGTAGTAAGATTGTTCCTTAGTGATCAGAAGGTAACGGGTTCGAGTTCAGAAATTAACCTCTTTGCAAAAATGTAAGGATAAAGTTATGTATAATCCACTCTCACCCATACTCTCACAAAGTCGGGGAGAGTTTGTGCACTAGGCTTCACCTTAATCTGTTTCAACACTCTAAAATAGCATTACACCATCATCTAAGAATAAATATACAAATTATAAATTAAATAAAAAAAAGCTTAAATACAAACTAGTGGATGCAATTACATTTAAAAAATAAAGAGCCTGCAGAACTGATTTCAGTGACAAGAACAAGACTAGGATGCACAAATAGATCACAAAGTTATACCTATCAAGTATCAACACAAGAAAGATAAGGAAGGTAGGTTTACTTTTAATTCATAGTTATTTCTATCTGGAAAACATATTTCTTTCTTTAACCATACAAGGATATGTAATGCTAAAATAATAGTTGCTTGGACATTCACTGTTGTCAGAGTTGTAAATAGAAAATACCCAACATCAACAACAAAAACAACAAGAAGACACTTTTGTTCAACTCACAAAATCTGTGTAGCACTGTCACATGGTATAATAGCAACTGAATGGTTAAAAGGTTAGCAAAAACAAAAATTATTTGAAAAATATTAAATTCATAATATAACTGGTAATCTTTAAGCAAAGGTCCACAACCATCAGTGCAAATGAGACAAGCATCGCCAAAGATCATTTAGACCTCCTAAAAACTAAGTATACCCATGTTCTGAGAACTTAAACTAAATCACTGAACACAAAGAATTTGATCTTGTAAGATTGTAAGTACTAGTGAGACTATATGTATGTAATCTGCATCGTATGATAAATGCATATACAACAAGGTGCAAGAAAAGACAGGTGAGAGAAAGTCTCGTTATCTAGCCAAAAGAATAACGACATGATAACGAAAATGCAGTTCAAGCTACCTGTAGTACTGAAAACCGATTCTAGCTGAAATGAGCAGCAAATACGTTGCTTCTCCAAACTTCTTGATGAACTGTTGGAGAATGTTCCACTCCCTCTTGCCTGAATCTCCTCATCACAAAGCAAGTCCTGGTCATAGGTATTAGACTCTCTCAAACTACAGCCTCTTTCTACAGATGTAATTCCTGCAAGAACATGAGAATCAGCCGTGCTCTCTAAGATAGGTGCAATTCTTTCAAGGCTGATCTTCTTACGGCAGCCATCTTGTATAGCCAGAGACTGAAAGCAGCAAAAGATAATAAGACTTGACTGTGCAGGGAAAACCGGAAAAGTACAAAAATTAACACATATACACACAATGGAGATGCTATTTGAAGTTTATCTCTGACCTGCTTAGGCATATTAAGAGAATTTTTCAGAGTTCTACATTTATATGCTTCATCCGTGTTATTTTGTAAGCTCCAACCACGTAAACGCATAGAACGATGCAATTCATTCACAAATGAGGCCTCTAAAGAACTAAGATATAGATTGTGCTGCTGATCTGTCCATCTTGTCGACTGGTCCTGGAAGAACATTTTGAGCTTAGTATATCCTTGCCAACTAAATAAAGAGAAAAGTTTTCATCTTCACAAGAAATCACAGTCAAAGTACCAACATGGAAAGCAATGTAATATAGTCAATTTCAAACTCTTATATTTATTAGAAAGCAACTAAAATATATAAATGGTCTTTCGAAAAATAGGTCATGTCAAGCAATAGGAGATTTTAAGTTATTACAGGAACTAATTTAGTCAATCTATAAAATCAATAAATTTAATTATAATGCCAAAAACCAAGATTAGATGATTCCAAACTATGAGCCAATCAAAAGTATTTCGATGATTCTTCCTCTAACAGAAATCTCTCGTGATGTTTAGGTTTCCCATTGAACTAATTAAAGCTTCTTCAAGAATCAATATATATTTTTCAGCATCCTTTCCAAAAACAAAATTTCCTTATTATGTTACTTTTAACACTCCTTCTATGAGTTCAACCACAAAAATTGAAGCACATAAGAACATATAACATTTCTGATTGTGAACATGAACAAGCATCATATCAACTTCCGCCAACACAAAACAAGCTTTTTAACATGCACCCAAGTTGAAGTTCCAAGGAGAAAAGCATGTCAGAAAGAACATTTTCATTTAAGCAGTAGATACAATTGTACCTAAAGCACATCTATTGGTGCTGCTACAGAAATAATTTACCAAAAGATATTTCGCAGCAACTTCTAAGTAAATTGTCTTTTCTTTGGGTAATGTAAGTGTATTGTCTTAATTAGATACTTGAATTATCATACACAATCTGCACCAAACAGATAGCTTGCTAAGATGTATAAATCAAAGGCATATTTAGGAATTCAAACATAAGAGACTGACAAACAAAGTTGATTACAAAGCATCAGCATCCATGGTCAAACCAGTTAAAAATCTATAACATTATTATTGATTTCAGTTACTTGAAATCTCTCTCTCTTTTTCCTGGTTTTAGATATAAAATATGCTGAACTCATCATTTATTGCTGAATTTAGCAAACAGGAGTCGGAAACTTGCTTGTTACATGATTTAAAAAAAAAAAAAATAGCCACGCCATGGAAGTTTGAACCCCATGCAAAGTACAATTGCGCCATTAAATGCCATAAAAGCAAAAAAGCAAATGAGCTCAAAAGACCTAGAATCCAAACGGTTATTTATAGACACGGTCACATCCAGACAAGCACAAACACTCCGGGATCAACCTCTGAACTCGCAATTTCTCACCACAAAATCGAAGCCAAAAAGAGAAATAAAAGCGAAATTGGAAAATCCATTATCAGCTGCGTAAAAGGAATTTGAAAAAGAAAACGGTATAATCAGTTAAGTTACCGGAAACGAAACGGCCGCGTAATGATGCGATAAATCTTTGGACGTGTTGTCGAGGGTGATGGCAGAGGAGTCGGAGCTAGTAGGAGTCAACTCGGGCAATGACTCTGGATCGGAAGAGAGCGACGGCGACTGTATGCCACGCCGGAGATCTTCTTCCATGGAGCGTGAGATTAATCGGAATCTTAGAGAAGAAGAAGAAGAAGAAACCCTCTGGGTTCGGTTCAAGGGAGGTTGGGGTTCGGGACAAAAAATGCTCCACATGGCGTTGCTTTTACACGTGTCAATGCCGCTGTTGGGTTGCCACGTCATCAGGGAGATAATATCTTGGGGTAACTTGAGCCAGATATTTTTGAAGGGTCGCTGAAGACGGAGAGAGAGAGAGAGAGAGTGGAGATAATCCGCAGTTATTGGCGCGTGTAACTCATGCCCTATTTTCTCGGACTCGCACATCACAAGACATGGCTACGCCATCGCTTGCTCGTCTTGAACTCGTGATTCACATGGTCAATTTCCACTTTTTTTTGTTTTTTTGTTTTAGGTTCTATTAACTTTTAATCTCGTTTTAAATAAAGTCTTAGTAAAAATATTAATCTAATTTTGGACAGACTTTAGTCAAGTTTAAGCTTAAACTAAAGAACAGAAGGTTAAGAAATTAATCTTAACACTTACAATTATCTGATGATGCTCTGGGGATCATATAAGTGAGGACTAAGAAGCTGTGTTATTAATTAGAAAATAAGCGAAAGTTGTAATTATTGTTAATGACTTTATATTATATATAAATATAGCATGCGTGCGCGTATATATATAATGAATGATGTTAAATAATAGGTTATATGCAAATTAATATAAAAAACTTATGTTAGTAAATTTAAATTAATTAATAATATAATTAAATATTTGTATAATGAAAAATTATAAAAGTGACTATTAATACTTATCAATAAAAAAACATTTGAATTAAAACATAAATAATTAAGGTTATTATCAGCCAAAAATTAATCAAATAGTCAAACTTTTTTTTAATAATCAAATAGCCACTTGATTAAACCACTTTTTTGGTGTTGTAAATTAAATAAAATTGATTATTTTTAGTATTGAAAATACTTACTCGAGCTATTAACAAAGCCCAACACTGATAAATGGCTGATCCTTTAAGCAAGCAATATTCAATAAGAATGCTTCGTTATAAAATTGTAACATTTGGCATTCGAAGATGTTATTAACTCAGCAAGTATATAAATTGTATAAGTAATATAGTAGTAAGTTGAGTATTGTTCTCACGAGAATTAATATTTGAATCACTAGATTATTATTTCTTTTAAAAATTGGATGAATTCAAATTATCGGATGAGATGTTTGAATAAGAACAGAAGAAGGATTAAAATAAAAAACAATAGCAATTTAATTCAAAGCAAGAACGCAAAAGTAAGAGTGACTACAATCAAGAAGGAGCAGTTTGATTACCTCCCAATTTTCACTTGTTTAACCTGAGTTGATTTGAACCTTATTCAACACACTCACTTGTTAAAACTTATTCAAGATATCTGTAATTCAAAATAATTTATGTGATTTGAACCTTAGACGTGGATCATTATTCACTTCTACTGCAAGACAAAGCATCACGTCACAAAATATTTTACCTCCTCATGAACAATTACATTACAATACCTTCAACATGATTCTCCCCACGATTGGCACTAGATGTGACAATTCAATACACAACCTGCTAACATGATACGAGATTTTCGTGTTCAAGTAAACATTCACATTCATGTTAGCAAAAATGTGTCAATTCGCAAATAAGACATTCCCTCGTTTATTACGTTTTTTTTTTATATACAAAAGGGTTATTCGTATCATGCCATATTATTATTATGTTGTGTCAATTTATATAACAAGAGGCTCATGTCAGTTTCAACAACACAAATAAGTTCTTATGAAAGGTTTTAGCATGAACCGTTCGTTATTCATGTTATGTTAGTGTATTCGTGTTTGTCTCGATAAGACAACTCATTGACTTTCTATCCAAAAAAAAGAGGCTTTTTGACCTATGTAGGTTTAAATTGAAAACGTTTAACCTGAATAAACCTATGGCTATGACAATACAATTGCCCATGCTAGCATGGCAACGTGGCATGGCAGGCAACGTATCAAGAAACGTTACTTTCACAAACGAGTTGCAAAACGCCACTGTTCCTGCCATGTTTCATTTAAGAACAGCACGTCAGGCATTGCACCGTTTTTAGGGATCAGATGTATGCAACACGCTTCTGAAGCAGACGTTTGTGTAAAACGTCAGGTCACCTACGACTACTAGAAAAATCCTGTATAGCGAGGGAATTGCTATGAAAATTCCGTCGCTAATTTCATCATCGCTACTACTTTCCCTCGCAAATTCCCTCGCTAACGATTTTGCGAGGGAATTTGCGAGGGAAAGTAGTAGCGAGGATGAAATTAGCGACGGAATTTGCATAGCTATTCCCTCGCTATACAAGATTTTTCTAGTAGTATACCGTTTTTGGTTTCGTTAAACACGGCACTGAACCAACCGATTATCTGGATGTGACTGCATGAAAAACGGTACTGGTTAGGACATTTTTAAAGACGGTATGATCAGAGACGTTTTTATAATACAATTAAATGGGTTTGTAATCATTAATATGCATTTCACGTTATATTCATCTCGCTTATAAGTTAGATGTAAAAAAACGTTTACGTATGAAGGTTTTGTAATTAATATGTTTTTATTAAAACATGTCTACGTTACTTTATATGATGTTTATTAATAGTATTTAATAATTCCCAAATAAGTAATTAAAACCAATAATTTTAAACATAAAGATTATGGTCGCCCACCAACATGTGGAAGGTATGTTACATGTATATAATATCATCCAAATGGCATAAATTATAATTGATTTGTCCTTGTGAACTCTGACTCAATTTCAAAAGCGGGGTGGGCTAGCTCGTTGTGAACTCATTCAACCGACTATACTCAAGCAACATATTATTAATCTACCAATAACTGCTTGAATCTCAGTTTTTGTAGCAGCAGCATCATCGTCCGCCATCCACCAATCCATCTCAGCTGCAGCAACCTAGCCAATCGAGACAAAATGATATAAAATATATTTTTGTAAAAGCGCAATAAATTACGAACATAACAACTCACCATATGACCAGCTCGGGCAGTCTTCACAGTCAAATATCATCTAGTGTGACTGATAAGACCATGATCAATATGCAATATGTTAACCCATTAAAAATACTCTTAAACCCATAAAAAATTACAAAAAATTGCAAGGTTTGTAATTTAATTACTATAACCGACAAATGCTGCATGCGTGCTGCCTGGTAAAAATATTAGTTTTGTTCTAAATTATTATATTGCAAAAAGATTTCAAAGTTATATAAATATAGATGCAATATATGTACTGCATTCTTTTTTTTTTTTGGTAGACTATGTACTGCATTCTTAATGTTTAAGGCCAAACAAAGGATTTTTTTTTAATTGCATAATATAAGATCATCCAAAACTTAATAATATGACTAATAAAATTGTACAAAACTGGATACCAAAAAACACAAAAATTGTTAGTTTTTATATGCATTTGAAATTAAAGTTTTATATGCATTTAAAATTAAAGTTTTATATGCATTTAAAATTATGGTTTTATATGCATTTAAAAACGCAAAAACTGTTTCAATATGCATTTCAAATTAAATTTTTATAAAATTATATTTTTTTGTGCTGTTATTGGACCCTGCATCCTGACTCTTTTAAATGGTTTGAAATTGCTTTTAGAGAGGACATGTGCTTTATCGTGGAGGGACTCATTAATAGGAGATGTAACTTAAATTTAAATAAACTGAATATTTTTAAAAGGCTGAGGTTTTTATGGAACATGAAAGCGTATGCTTCAGGAACGTGTTGTTCTGAAATGAAACATGGCAGGAACAGTGACATTTTGCAACTCTTATGCGATAGTAACGTTTCTTGATACGTTGCCTGCAATGCCGCGTTGCCATGCATTAGCATGGGCAATTGTATTGTCATAGGTTTATTCAGGTCAAACATTTCATTTTAAACCTACATAGGTCAAAAAGCCAAAAAAAGACAACCCATTGACATGAATTTTCACCCCTAAATGTGAGCATAACATTCATCTGCACAAACTATTCGGGGACACTGCACCATTCTAACAGTGGCGGAGCCACATATAGGTTGTGGGGCGGATTCGGACTAAATTCTAACAAATTTTAGTTATTATATATAATTATATAATTAATTATAATTTGATCCGGATTAAAATTGTTGGCCCGGGATAATATTAAAATATATTTGATGAATGATTTGAGTAGGTTGTATCAAGTTATGTGTTCAATTTCAGCTTGCATCCAAAAAAAATTAAAAATATTTAATAAGATTAAAAAATCTATAATGAGATTATCACTCTTTGACTCTCTTAATTTATATTTCTTCTTCCCGCTGATGCATCTCTCTTGCCCTATTCTAACTTCTAAGGTCAAGCTCTCTCTCTCACCAGGTATCATGGCTTTTTTTTTCTTCCTATTTTCAGCTTTTTTTCTCTGCCAATTGAGCTAAGTTAATGCTCCTACCTTTAACCCAACAAGTTTTTAGGAATTTTTGTTATTTCAATTTTTTCCCCCAACAAAAATTTCAAACCTGTATCTATAGATACTTGAAGCTACTTTGTTTTGGGCATAAAGCGAAGGAGGAAGGAAGAACATAGTATATGATATTTGAAGCCTGCGTAGATGCATTTCATTTAGATCTTTAATTTATCATCACTTATATTGGTTAATTTAGCGCTGATAAAGGCACCACTTTTCTCAAAGTGGGAGCAAAAACCTCTGCTGACCATTTATTATTTCATAATTATATGGCACCGACCATATATCATCTTTATAATTTCAAGTACAAATGAACTTATTCAAGAACTGCGAGATGATGGTTTGAAAAGAATACTTGAAAGTGTTGCTAATTTCTCTAAGCTTCATGAAATAGATGTTTCAGATCTTAATGCTCAATATATTGAAGGTCGTGGCCGTGGACAACATGATCAATTAACTATTGAGCATCACTATCATTTTGATATCTTTAATTCAACCATTGGCTTTCAATTACAAGAGTTAAATAGAAGATTTACTGAGCAAACAATGGAACTTTTATCACTTAGCTCTTCATTAGATCCGAAGAATGGTTACAAAGCATTTAATGTTGATGATATTTGTAGCCTATCCTCTTGATTTTCTTCAGCAAAAGAGAATTAATTTGAATTGTCAATTGAAGCATTTCCACAAGGACATCCTAAAACATCCAGAACTTCAAAATTTATCTTCAAAGTGTCAAGGGTTAGCTAAGAAAGGAAAGTCAAATTCTTATTATTTGGTTGATAGGCTAATTCGTCTTATCTTAACGCTTCCAGTTTCAATTCTCAGCAACGAAAATTGTGAAAACAAGGTTTCAAAACAAAATGGAGGATGACTTTCTTGCAAATAATTTGGTTGTGTATGTTGAAAGAGATATTGCTGAAACTTTTACTACAGATTTGATCATTGAAGATTTCGTTAATTTAAAAGAGCGTCACTTACAATTTTATGTATGCAATTTTTTATTATATTTTAAATTACTTATTAAATATTATTATACCGATAATTATTATATTTGTGTGTTTTCATATCCTTAGGCAATGCTTGGTTCATTACTTATTATGATGTGGGGGGAAAATGCAATTCTTATGTTTGAAATTCTTATCGGAAAGGTTAGTACATTTTTATATGTTTGCTTTGATATATAATCATTGACGATTGTTCATTTGAATTTTTAATGTTATGTGAGATTATTTAGTAAATAATTTAGATTTGTATGCTAAAATTCATAGTAAATTTTTTCCTAATAAATTTATGTAATTATGATAAATATTTTGATAATTTAATATGTAAATTTTTTTAGCCCGGACTAAAAATTAGAGCCCGTCTCCGCCACTTATTCTAGATCCAGAATATCAACATAACCACTCATATATGCATCATCTGTAAGGCAGACCTTAGGTATTCTGCACTTGGATCCTCTTGCTTACGTCCCTTTTAACACTTTAAAAGTGAACAGATCACATCTCTCTCCGCCGTCGACACAAACAATGGAACTCACTGCACGACACAACGTTCCCTTCCATGATTATTACCAATATATATAATGAAAAGCATTATATACCAATCCAAACTCTCCGTCTCAAATAGCAAGAGAACACAAAATAACACTTTGACGTTTGCCAAGTTTGCAGGAATAGTGACCAATGTGTCACTGTTCACTGACTTTTTTATCCAAATGCCACACGAACAGTAAAATTTACCAGACTGTCACGCCTTGAAGTTCGCTACCGCTGATAGCGAACTTGGTCGCCAATAATTTCTTGACACGTGGCACACTTTTCACAGGAAAAACTGACTGTCACAAGTCCAAGTTCAGCCAATGATTTCATGACACGTGGCACATTGTCGCAGAAAAAATTGACTGAACGAAGTTCTACGTGACACAATCTCGTTGCCCGATCAGAATTAATGTACCAATCACAATCAAAAAAAGAAAACGAAGAAAAATAACTATTTAATTAATGTACTAATAACAATTAATGTACCAATCACCAATCACAATTAATGTATCACTCACCAATCACAATTAATGTATCAATCACCAATCACGATTAATTTTGATCACAATTAATGTACCAATCACGAATCACAATTAATGTACCAATCGTAATTAATTTTGATTGGAACATTAACTGTTTGTGATACCATTGTTACAAATTCGAACGATGCTTGTGAGAAATAAAATATGTCAAATTTGGTGTCATTGAGTAGGTCTCGAAAGTTTATATGAAATAAAATAAAAAATATCTAATTTGGATATCCGAATCAAAAGTTATGGCCCTCCGAAGCGATTGGTATATTAATTGTGATTGGTACAATCAAAAGTTATTCTCATTGGTACATCAATTGTGATTGGTGATTGGTACATTAATTGTGATTGATACATTAATTAAATAGCCATTTTTTTTTTTTTTTTAATTGTGATTGGTACATTAATTCTGATCAGGCAACGAGATTGTGCCACGTGACACATAGTTCGCTTGGACCTTCTGTGAACTTGGTGCATGTCAGACACGTGGCACACCTAGTTCGCTGCATGTGGCAGCGAACTTCTCCAATGTGTTGGCATTTATTGCAACGTAGTTCGCTATTAGGAGTATCAAACTTGTTGTCCACTAGAAACATGCCACATCAGCAAATCAAGTTCGTTGGGCACTGTAGCGAATTTGCACGCGTGGCATATTGGAAAATAATAATATTTGCGTGACATTTAGGGAAAAAAGTCAGTGAGCAGTGACATTTTGGTCACTGTTCCGAGTTTGCATATGTATGTCAAAATTAAAATTAAATTATTAGCAAATAAAAAAATATGAAATATAAATTTTTTTTAAAAGAAAAAAAAAAAAACTAGACAGAGACACCGAAGATTGTCTATGAAAAATTCGAGCATGCACAAAATTAATTCCAACACTGGTTTTATTTTTATACGTGCTTCAAGTGCATGCACAACGTATTCAACTATTAATGAAGTTGGTCGGAGGGAGGTGGAAGAGACTGCCGCACCGCACAAGCAACCACCTTCGCCCACTGTTTCAACCGAGCCTTCTTCGCAGCCGCATCATCATCTTCATAACAAGAAGATTTATTCAAAATTTAAATAAATTTATAACGTAAAAAGTAGTAAGACACAAATAAACATAACGGAATTAATAACCAAAATAAAACTGTTTTATGAATAAATCAAATTGTAAAGGGTTTTTTAATAATTAGAATTACCTGGATCGAATATTGAGGTAGGGCTTGCAATGTTGTTATCGGAGACCATGGATGATGAAGAAGAGGATCTAGATAAGCTGTGATCGTTGTACTGTTTATTAACGGCATGGAACAACTCCAAAGCCGGAATCGTATTCGATAATTTCGGGTCAGTTTCGGGTGAATCGAACCCGAATCCGAGTTCGATGCAAGCCTTCAGTTCATCTACGTCCTCCTCCGAGAGGCTCTTGCCCAGCCGGTGGCAGCTGCTGCTGTTCCTGAAGTAATTCTCCTTTCGCCTCTGCCACGCCTCTTCCCGGAGTATGTCCGGCGACCATGACTGCTGCTTGTATAGCAGCCGCGACGAAGGCCGCAGCAGTGCATTAGGGCGTCTCGACATGGTTTAGTGGCGCCGCCGCCTTAGAGGGCGGGAGAATTTCTTTGAATTTCGAGGATTTGGTTTTTGCAAAGAATGAGATGGTTATGTATTTATAATATAGTAGAGCTAGTGGATCTGAATGACCTGGCAAAGTGGCAATGATTGTGGTCTTCTATTTTTTTTAATTGTATTCCTTTTTTTTTTGTCGAATTTCAATTGTTAATTGCCATTTTTTGGAGAAAAAAAAAATTAAAATAAGGAAATTATTTTTGCCAAAGAATCTGTTCTGTAAAGGAAAGTATCTTGGGGTTTATTTTTTTAATCATTATACTCTATTTAGAGCTCAGATATTTTGATAAGCGAATCAACTGAATTATTGTTGGGTTGTATAATTCTCATTTAACATGAGAATTGTAATTTTCCTACACACCCTTCGATTTTCGTGCTGACATGGGTTCTACATATAATTCTTTTTAACACATGAATCCCACATACTTTTTTATCTCTACAACATGAGATTTCAATTCTCTTCAACGTAAGAATTATAAAACCCATTATTATTACCTGTATATTCTGGAAGGTTGTCTATTTGGATGATAGAATTACAGTTGTCAATTGCAGTAGACGAACTATCATGATTGGATATAAGATTTTTTATTACTACATTCGTATAAATTGATTTAACTCATATTATATGTGAATATATCATCGATAGGTTTTTTTATATTTTTAAAATAAAAGCACATTAATGTGGATAATATTTGATGGTAAGTATAATTAATATTGTTTTGAGATTTTTATTGTTATGATTCTTTTATAATTTATTCCTTATGAATGTGAGATTTTTTTTTTCTTACATTTAAGCTGTTGATATATTAGTTCTTTGCACTTTTGCAAATTTCATTAAAAAGCTTTTTAATTTTTCTATTTTGAAAAATACGTATAATTAAAATTTTAAACTACTTCATCGTAATTCTTTTTTATTTTGTGATAGGCACACCGTTTTTTTTCAACGGTATAAATATAGGATAAAGAATTTTTCCTGAGATAAATTATCTCCGGTGAGTCTAAAATGAAATCCTTATGAAATGGAAATCAAGGTATTTTTTAATTATAATTTATTACAGAGTTATATTAGTTTTTATCAATATAATTTTTTAATTTTATACCCCTAAATGACATCGTTTTGAGCTCACCGAAAATAACTTTATTTCAGTGGCTGAAAAAATATTTTCCCCATAAATATATTGTTAAATGTTTTTGAAAAAATAGTATATGTCTGCAATACTTTGTAATCAAATGCAGCAAGATTTTATTGCCTAACCATTGGAAGCAATTAACCGAAATTAGAAATTAACTAAAAAAATACTATATTATAAAATGTCAATTGATTTACCTAAATATTTTAGTCCATAAAAATTGAGTTAACGTTAATCTAGTTCTTAAAATAAGTGACATTGATACACCTAAAAATGGCTAAAATTGGCTTAAAAATATATGTGTGTGCGTGCATGTGTCATTTTAGGCATTTTAGACTTATTTCATAGTTTAGGACATTTTAGTTATTGTTTGCTATTTTATTTTATTATTTCTTTTGATTGTGTGTTATTTTTTTTTACTGCGCATGATTTTTTTTGATTTTGTTTATTTTTATTTTTATTTTATTTTGCCTATTTAAAACATGAAGAACTTGTTATTTGATTGTTTTTTGTTAATACAATTCTGAAAAGAGAAATAATATTTTCTCGCAATCCTTGTTTTTAGTAGTCAATAGTTTACTATTTATGCATTAGACATTAATGTAGTTATATAAAAAAATTGATGCCAATTTAATCTCTTAATAAAAATAAAATGAAAATAATTTAAATCCCAATCATAAAACGTTGATATTAAATTAATTTCTTAATAAGAAGGAATAATATTATTTTACTAACTAAATTTCATAGTTCGTATTAACATAAGTTTAATATTTCATTTTATAATTAAGAAATAAAATTAGCCATTTATTTTTTAAAAATTGAAATAATATCAGCCGAATGTTTTGATCGCCATTGCAATGTGACGTTAGAATACAAGAAAATCGGGATACAGTGGCGGTATCTTAGTGGCTCTTAAAAAAACCAACTCCGTTTAGCGAATAATAGCACCCTCAGCTATTTAACTTTTTTTTTTTTCCCTCTTAGGACGCTAAGTATCCCATTGGCATGTCTAATTTGATTTGATTTGATTTTTTATTTTGGCAACATACACATTTTCTATTTTTCGCAGTCTCCCATTCATTTTTTTTCTTTTTTTTTTTTCGCTAAACTCAGATTTATGAGGACTGAACCTCTATTGTAAGGTAGTCGACAGCGGAGTCCGGTAGGGTTTCGGCGAAGGAAGAAGAAGGGGAAGGGATCTCGTTGAGGTCGATTACAAGACCTCAACGATTGCTGTTATGGTCGCCGCCGGTGGAATCGTTGAGTTCCTGGAATCCTTCAAATGATTTGCTTCAGCTATTTCAGCCTTTTGGAGTCATAACAAAGCTTGTGATGTTGCGTGCCAAAAATCAGGTTTTCTTCATGCCTTCAAATGGAACTTTCTGTTTTCCTTAGATTCTTAGAATTTAAGGCTGAATGATTTTATTGTTTTCTTTTATTTGTACAATCTGTTGTCTTTATAGGCTCTTCTCCAAATGCAAGATATTCCTTCTGCAGTTAATGCTTTACAATTTTATGCAAATGTTCAGCCAAGCATGAAGTATAAAACTTTAAATAGATTGTTCATTTCTTTTTTAAATCTTTATATTATTGCCTTGAACAATATTTGATAACTTAATCCTGGACATGATAGATAGAGATTTGGAAAGCATGATTCGTTCCCATTGATTTTAAGAAATCACTCTACTTTTTGTAATTATCTTTTTGTTTCATTCTAGGGGGAGAAATGTTTATGTCCAGTTTTCCTCACATCAAGAATTAACTACAATGGATCAAAGTCAAGGACGAGAAGACGAGGTTGGCATTTTTTTTACTTGGAAAATATGTTCCTCAACTTGTAGATTTTGGAAAAACAGAGAATTGATCAGCCCTTTTTTTTTTTATATGATGTTTCCCGCTATAACAGTTATATTATTATCTTAGTTCTTAGACTTTCAATTGTAATGGGTTTAGTGTAAATTGTTATGTTCTGTATTTTCTGTCTCTTTATCATGAACTTCTCTATTTATTCTCCTTTCTCTCTATCTCTTCTTCTTCTCTACTTTATCTTCTTTATTAACCGTTCATTTGCAAGCCATCCCAACAACCACTGACCCACACTATATAGCTCCAAAACTTGTATTGACATTGTTTAATAAACTCTTTGTGTTTAATACAACACAAAGAATAAAAATAAAAAATCTGGACATGGCAAAAAACTTAAAACCCTAACCCTTCAAACATTTTCAGAAAATCATAATCTGTTTCTCTCTTTCTTGGCCTCTCCGATCTGCAACGAACGTGAATGCTTGTTTTTGTTTTAAGGGAACACTTGTGTTGTTGTGCCCAACCAGTCCTGCAATTTTCTTTTGCAGAGAGGAGGTTTCATTTCCTAGAAAATCATAATTTTTTTTATTTTTTATTTGCTCGAAGGAAATTCATTTCGAATTGATCAACGATGGGTTTTGATTTATGAAATTGGTGTTGTTTCTGATCACAGGGGAAGGTCATATTCGTAAGATTTTTGCTAGAGATTGACGTGTTAGGTTGAGTTGAAAAGATGAAAAACACAGAGAGAATTGCCAATTTGGCTTTAGCAGGTTAATTTTTATTGTTTCGTTCTTGTTGGTCAATTTTATTGATCCTCTGTCTTCCTTCTTTTGAATATATATATATATATATATATATATATATATACATATATATATATTTCCAATTTGAAGTCCTAATGTGAAACTAATTTGTAACGTGCTCGGTGGCTGAAATTACCCTTTATGTATTCTAGTACAATGCAGTTGTTATATTCTTATGTGTTACTGATTTTTTTTTTAGGTTATTAGTATTTTAGGTTTTTTTTTTTTGGTGAGGGATTAGTATTTTAGGTTTATTAATGTACCTATCAATTAATAATCCTCCGGCCACCTTAGTATATCAAAAAAAAGTGCTAAGTTCAGGTTGAAAGAAGTGCTTATAGGAGGGTTTATATGAACCAATATATATATATATATATATATATATATATATATATATATATATATATATATATATATATTACTTGTTAGATCCCAAGGATCATATTTATAAATATCAAGCTGCTTGATGAGCTCAATAGTCAAAGGCCTCTGTTGAATTTTTCTCTTGAGATAGAACCTAAACAAGCTCCTCATCAATTACATGAAACCTAAATCGTGGTAACATAACTTCATCAAGTTTCTCAACATCATTTCTCTCTTCCATAAAAATTTGAAGCCTCAAAATATACTGGTTTGTTTTATATTCTTGCTAATATACATTTTAAGTCAGAATTCTTTCTTAAAACCGGTAAATATATCTGGCGTTGATTTCATTATGTGTATTCTCTCGGTTGATCCTCTTACAGAAGCTGATTCATTGGACTAACTTTTTCTCACCAAGATGAGGCCAAAATCTGCACAAAGACACATTAAAGAATAACCTCATAGGGAATAACATGCTTTGAAGAGAAGGACATGGATGAAGGGATGTTTAAGGTGAAGAGAGTTGATGAAGCTGTGAGTATTTTGCTTCCGCAAACGCCAGAAAAGATGAGGCAGCTTCTGCAGCTAACGTTTGTTAAGCCTATCAAAGTCATGCCATCATGTTTCATCAATGATTACATTGATGTAAGTGGTTTCTCTTATTAAAACTTGATTTTCTTATGTCTGTGAAAATTGCTAGTTTTTTATTTTTTTGTTATTTTTTTTAACTGCCTCTGAAATTGGTTCTGTTTTAGGATAATAGAGTGTTAATAGGGGGATCGGTATAATTTTTGTGCTTTCTTTTATATTATGTTTAAGATTACTGAATAGTAAATAGTTTGAACTTTGTCTTATTGTGTCAATTGGTCTGAATCTGATTCAGACTGGTTTGGTTTTTCAATTTTATATTATTTCTCATTTCTTTTCTGGCTTCACATAATTCGCGTGGATTGTATTCTTTCCTGATTATATGATGCATGTTATCTAAATGTCTTAGGTATCAATGTGTCATCTTAGATTTCACCACCACGGTGCTGAAGATAGTAAAACTATTAAGTAATAAACAGAGGAAGAACAATAATAGGACTGAGGATATTCATATAGGACTACTGCATATATGGATCTAAAGGCTTTAGGGCCATATAGTTATTTTCAGACTAAATCTTGTCATCAATTTCACATTGATAATTAAAAGTTCAATCAACTAGTTATTTGGGCTATTCTTTGTGCACTAGATGGTTGGTTAGTTGTATTATCAATTATAGGAAAATTTTTAGTATATTACACCTAGGTCTCAAATATTGCTTTTTTATTTTTTATTTAACATTAAAATGGGAATGCAGAGTGGTGGCATGAATGACATGGGACGAACCCTCACCTGCCCCTTAAAGGGAGTGTTAGGTTTATTATTTACAACTCACCACCATACATTCCACATGGTAGATGAGAACACAACTAATGATGAGAGATTGAGTGAAACAGACATCCGGTGAGGAGTTAATTATAGGAGTATGCTCTCAAGGAAGTTTGCTAACCAAGGTTCCAGACTTCCAGCAACTAAAACTAGTACACTTGCAAGCCTCACATCATATAGCTGATTGAGAGCTGAAACAATGGGTGTTTGATCATGAGAGGGGAATTTTCAGAAGAAGCATTAAATGAAGTGCTTGAACACTGGGTAGCTAGAAACTTAACTTTGGCATTTACTCACTAGTTGGGATCTATGTTTTGGGTGATAAATTGTGAGCTGTTAGAAGAGAGAGAATGATGTGAATTGCTGATTGGACATTGATATTTGATCTACTCGAGGGAGAGTAGAAGTTAAGTTTGGGGTGTTTTGTTGGGCTTAAAATATGGTGCTTTCGTTGTGTTAATTCATGCTGAAAATACTTGTTGCCATGAAGAGTTGTAAGCTTTTAATTATAAAAAATATTCTGTTTTAAAGTGCAAAAAGACGTACAAGTGATGCAATTTATATTATTTGACAGGTTTGAAGGAGTGAGCAAAAGTTAGTGGCCAACTCATCAAAGGTGGGACCCGGTGGAATTGATAACCCAGGTTTTTCTTAATGCGGACTTTACATTATGAGTTAATTTCACCATATTTTACAATCTTGCATTTTGTAACTTCTTAAAAGGCATAGCTTTTCAATGATGCAGCATACACAATACTTTGGGAAGAACACGACCAGGTATTTCCACTGGAATTAGCTCACAGACTGAAAAGGTGATTTTAAGTAATTTTAGCTACCTAATTCTATATAACTCTTTAACGTTGTAGACCTGTGTGTATTGTTCCGTTGCAATTAAAAATTTTGCTGGTGTGAAATGACATGTTAGAAATATAAATAGAATTCTTTTTGTTATCTATGTTAGTAATAAATCACATGTCCATTTTTTTGTAATATTTTTTCCCATGATATTGCTTTTTTATAATTGTCTTGCGAAACATGAGAATTTGAATTGGACGGGTGTTTCTATTTTGTTCTCTGAAAAAGGGTGCACCTTTAGTTGTTATAAACATCAAAAACCCCATCACTTTTTTATTGTTTCTCTCTTCTTTTTTTCTCACCCCCTTAATAAATTAAATAAATCTGAACCACTGTTATTTTGGCCTTGGCTGTTATTTACTTTTTCAATTCTCAAGTGATTTGATTTTGATTCATGACACTGATTAAAGTGTTTCACTCTTCAATTTATGATCACCCACTGTCTATTGACTCTATAATTTGTTCAGGTTATTCTTGAAGGTCTATGGCAGGAAGGATTTATGGCACTTGCTGCAATTGAAACCACAACTATTGGGTCAATTGAGGTTTGTCCATAGTTCCTTAAGGTTATTGTTGATCTAATTACTTTTGATTGGCCATTCTTTATTTTCTTATTTTTGAATAAATTATTCTTTATTTTTTTGTATTTGTGCTAAAATTATTATTTTTTTAATTTTAATACAGGTAACGGAGCAACATTTCCGTGCTCAACCTTCTTCGTATTCTGCTACTCATCAGCCATAATAGATTACTTATGTTTAAACATTTTAGTTGTATTTACATTGTGATTACTTTTATGATTAGTTTGTAAAAGAGTTATGTACTTTGTTTTTGTCATATATTTGGATCTATTAATTTTTAATTTTTTAAATTGATTTTATAATTGTATATAGTTTTTTTTTATATATTTAATGTTAAAATGACAATTTTGCTTATAAACAATGAAGAAATCAAAAATTTGAGTCTAAGTTATGTAATTTAAACGAATTATACAATTCAGTGGTTGTTTAAAATATATATGTTTACAAATTTTTTTTTATAATTTTTGAAATCACACCAAAAATTTAATTAAATATAAAAAAATGAATTACTGGATTTAGCGGCGGTTCCAAACCGCCGCTATAAATAAAGTGATTTATTTTTTCTAATAATTAATGGCGGTTTACATACATTTAACGTCGATTTTAATTTCGGCGTCGGTTATTCCGACAGTTGCTTCAAACCGTCGCTAAATTATTTAACGTCGCCATTTTTAAGGTCGGTTTTTAATTGGCCACAATATTTTTAGTGGCGGTTTGAACCGCCGCTAAATCTAAAAAACACCGCCGTTAAATCCCGATTTTGGTGTAGTGCTGAAAACAGTAGTCACGAGAATTTTGACGGTTCTGTTAATCTCGTTAATGTATACTTATTTATTGCAATAAGTATTCATAAAGCGTTTTGATATCATCCACATGAATTTTTTTTTTTTTGGAGGTTACAAGAAATTGAACACAACATCCTATACTATACACACTCCACACCACTAGACTAACCCTAGTGGTATCATCCACATGAATTTATTCAAACAACTTTTAAGACAAAGATTTCAAATAAAATAAAATAGGGAAACTTGAATTTTGAACTTATTTTTTAACTCAAAAGTTTCGAAAGAAAAGTTAAAAATAGTCTATGCAATGTTATTTTTAATTATTTTTATAATTTTTAATTAATTATCTTTAACAAAATTTTAAAATCTAATTTATGTAAAAGCCTTATTTAAAGTGCTTAATTTGATTTATATTTCACACCGCATTTTTTACCGAAACTTATCAAACAAACTTTACTCATATAAATACTTATTTAAGCTGAATAAATTTAAAGAAATATGATATTTCAAAATAGTTACTGCGTTGCCATTTGTATTGGAGATTAATATTTTTATTTGGGGAGATTATAGTTATTATTTCTTTTTCTTATTACCTCTTACTACTAAATCTTAATCGTTAATTTCCGTCTATCTAACGGTTGTAATTTATTGAATCATACTTATTTATTAATTATTAATTTTCAATAAATTATAACAGTTAGATTCGCGAAAATCAAAAATTAAAATTTGGTAATGAGAGTAGTGAGAAAAAGAGGTTATAACTGTAACCTCTTCTTTTTTATGTTATTGGAGATAAATTTTAACTTTTTACATACACATAAAAGTGTGTGGGACCCATGTAAGCTTATATAAGAAGAAGAGAGAGAAAGATAAAGTATGAGTCCTACACACTTTTATGTTTCTGTAGTAGATAAACTTATTTCCTACAATATGAGAAATACTAATTTGTTTGTATTATACTATAAATTTTTAAGATATTTTAGATGTTCCTAATTTATAAATTTATTTAAAAAAAATGTGGTACTATTGCAAATGAGACATCATACTGATTAGATAAATAGTAATATGGTTCGCTTTTTCTGCAGTTACTGCATATAAGTTATCTACAGTAAACCCAATATAACATCATTTTGGGTGGAAATTATGGTATTTTTATAATTTTAATTTATTTCAGGGTTATTATAGTCTTTATAATTATATTTTTTAATCTTTCAATCCCAAAACGACGTCGCTTTGAAAGTAAATGCAGATAACTTATCTGCATTAACTGTAGAAATATTTTTCTGATAATAATATTATATTAAGTTTACAATAACTAAAATTGGCTTATAAAATATTAATGTCTTTATTCTAATTTTGTGCTGGTATTTTTATAATAATATTCTATTAATTTTATATATTATTTCTAGCCATATATTATTTCATAATTTTTAAAATTTATCCTAATTTTGCATAACATCTATATTCTATATCCTTACTTGCGCTTCCAATGCACGATTATGTTTACGATCATGGCCAAAAATTATTATTTTTTAAATGTTTTTGGTATTATTTTTTAATGAAAATATGATATATATTATTTTCTTAATCATATCATATTCTTTTTAAAAGTAATTATAATTAAATTAAAAGATATATATATATATATATATATATATATATATATAGGGAAAAATATTTTTCCGGCTGCTTGAGATAAATTTATCTCCGGCCATCCCAAAACTACGTCATTTTGATTATTTATTTCCTTATATGTATTGATTCACCTTTGAATGGTTATGATTTTCCTTTTCTCTCTCTTCCTTTATCACCATTGATCCATCTTTGTACGGTTATGATTTAGCAGTCGGAGATAAATTTATCTCCGACAGCTTGAGAAATGATAAGCCCATATATATATATACCTCGTGATATTTCAACTAGGCTAACCGACTTATCATCCACAACTCGCTCTAAATATGAGCATCAAAACACATTTTAAACCAAGCTGGCATCACCTTAAGCAAAATCACTAAAGATGTTGGACCAACCCCCAAGCTGGAAAACAAAGGCTTCTAATGTTAGATCGTGTAGTCTATGATCTAACACTACACATACAACTTAGTGTTCACATACAACTCACATAAAGAAGTACAATAGAAGAACGACAAAGACCTCAGTTTGCAATGACATAAAACCCTTCGGTATCCTTTTACCACATTCCAAAAAGGCACACCATAGATAGTATTCATCCTAATAATGACAATGACCAAATTATTCAAGTTAGATATTGCAACTCGATCTATCCACTACTAGAAAAGTCTTAATTTTAATTGGAAAAATTCTGTTAAAATTAATGACGAAATTTTTTACCGAAATCGTATTTTGTCCAAATTTTTTGACAAAATCACCTTTTCGTCGATAATTTTCGACGAAAAAGTGATTCCGTCAAATTTTTTTGAAAAAATAAATATTAAAAGAAATTATATTTGTGAATTTTTCGGCGGAAATCAGATTCCATCGAAAATTATCGATGGAAAATAAATTTCGTCGAAAACTTTTAAAAAATATAAATGCTAAAAAAAATTTATTTTTGTGAATTTTTCAACAAGAGCTATTGCAAATATTTTCGCAAACATGCCCACGACCATATCCTCGATTAGGTAATTGTATTGCATTCACTTCAAGAAATGACAAAGAACTAATTTTTATCATGTCATCAAATATTATCATAATTTTTATCATGCCTAAAATTTTAAATTGGAATATTGACTTCGGGGAATATGATTTAACCCATTGACCAAACTTTACGAGACTTTTCTTTTATCGATATAACTACTCTTGGAATATATTCAAGAGAAAAAAAATATTAAAAATAATTTCTCTTGAAATTTTATTTCAAATTATCCAGCAAATAAGTTAGATCTTTCCAATCTTGGTCTAGAGTTATAATTCTTCAGGAACTATGCCATAGATATTCATAAGAATGATGACCAAGAAAAATAATTGATTTTATGTAATCCTTCTGAGATATATAAAATATAACTTCTTGAGGAAGTTAATAAAATTAACAAACTCAATATAAGACAAAATTTGTTTCATCAATAATATTCAACAATAAAATCACCATAAATGAAATATAAAAAAATTTACTAGAAATAAGATAAATTTTTTTACTAGAAATAAGATAAAAAAATTAAAAAAAAAATTGAGGAATGAATAAAATCAATATAAAATAAAATAATAAGGAACATTAATTTAATTATGCATTTGCTACGTCAGGAGCAATAACCTACAAAATGGCTTTAGGCTTCTGTTCAATGACGTGAGATTCATCATTTTTTCCTTTATTTATTTAACCACATTTATTTCATTAGCCATCTTCATTTGACTTCTTTCTTTTGTCAAGATTTGACCCAAAGTAATATTTTCTATCACTTCAAGGATTATAGTCATGCCCACAGTCCTCAAAATAACTATAGTCTTTCATAGAGTCAACATTTGCTTCAGATAGTTTGGAACCAACAGGTCTAAAACTTTAATTATTTTCACCCACTTCTAAGATGAAATTTTGACTTTTCAATATTATAACATAATGAAAAATTCTTAAATTAATAATATGGATTACCAAAACACTTACAGCTACTTCAGGAGCATGAGTATATAGACAGTCAAATGCCAAATAAGAACCTTTTTGAACACTCATTACTTCTGCAAGAGTAGGAGGATATATGTTGTCAAATACCTAATACTATTTTATCACTACAACTGCAGAGGTGGGATGATATATGTTATCAAATATCCAATAGCACTTCAGGTGCATAAATAAATAAAAATGAGAATTGGTAGAAGAAGAATGAATGAAAATTTGATAAAAGAATAAACAAATGAATATACTCACTGCTACTTCTGGAGTCGGAAAAAATTAAGAGAGAATGGGTAGAAGAAGATGAATTAGAAAGTGTTAAAGAATTTTCACCTTGCAGACAAAAAAAATTCTCTTTCTTATGTGGATCTATCAACCTTAGTTTGATATGGGAGAGGTTATCGTGTTGATAATGTTTTATAAAATCAAAAGGGAGAGATGAGAGAGATACATGTTACAAGACAAGTGAGAGAAATAAAAGAGAAGACAAAGAAGAGTAGAGAAGACAAAATGGTAGATTTATTATTCTCAATTCCTATAGGAGTCATGTCCTTACATAGGACTCTATATATGAATAAGGGACTAAATACACTTCAATACACCACTAGTGTAGTGATTACATAGTATATCAAAAGTCATAGGAAATTAAATGGTCATCCACATATCATAAGACATATGAAAGACGAAAGGTGATCCATATATTTTACAACATACACAAGTTTGTAGAGAAATTTCATCTAAGTTAGTCGTGGTTTGTATTCAATTTTAAGATTTTGTTTTTGGAAAATCATACTCTTATGTTGCTAGAAAAAAAGT